ACACTGAGCTTCATACTGAGAGAACTTCGCTGGCACGGAAAATTAAGAAGAAAATGACGGCCAGAAGTCGACGTGGAACTTCGTCGAAATGCTAAATTATATTAAAGAAGGCGCCATCTTTATTTACACACGATTAAGTAATTATACGTGTAGAATTCTGCAGACTTGCAACACTGTATTTTACTGCGAGACAAGTTGGTCACAAACGTGGTAATACGCGCAACAATGTGTTGCGAGACAAGTTGAAGGAAAATGTTGCCCGTATTACCGGACCTTTAATCATCGTTATTAAGTTGCCGTAAGTAACTTTTACTTGGCTGTTGATTGAAAAAATAAATGTGGTCTCGCTATTTTCGGGGGATAGGGGTGGGCTCGCTACTTTCGACGATTTTTTTGATGTCACTTTCGGCGGGTCGGTCCAAAATTTTGCGATACTTATCATTTGTAGGGTTCTGTTCGGTAAAGTTTAGTTGTAGGTATGTGTCGGAGCCTACTGAAAACATGCTTAAATGCCGGCAAGGATTATTTTAAAGCAGCTTGTCCGTTACGCCATTTCACCCGTGCGTGACTCTCTAACCTCCCGCGGGCGATTGGCTTGTTTCCGAACCGTTTAGTTGATTCAGTTTTGTATTTGACAGAGAGGAAAAGTCCAAGGCCCAGGGACTACAATATATCAAAACTGACATTTTATTACGAGACTCAAATTCCGCAATTCAGAAAATAGTGTTCTTCGGTTCTTGTGCTACAAAATACTCCATAAATTAATGTTACATCAGAATGACCACCCGCAGTTACAAAAATTTGACGTTTGCATTGCACTCCCCGTTGCTGCAAATTATGGTCATTAATTTTCAAACGTTGTGCAATGAAAACTGTTCCAAACCTAAAGTTTACCCAGAGCTCTAATTCAAGTAATTATCGCCTAGTAATACTACATGGAAAGCAAATTATCCACACTACTGCTAATGGCCCTATTCACCAAATGGAGAGAAGGAATTAAACCAGTCAAGTCAAACATTCTTATTTCCTCGTGCTGCGAGCTAAATTATTTTACAAAATTCTTGCTGGAATAGAAAACGAGGCGTCATATATAAATAGAAAAATACTATTTTATCACGTTTCAAAACTACTCTTTTTGTAGAACACTCTTCATTGGCTGTTTGTTTAGATTTCCAGATAACATGGAGATTTCAATAACAACTGCAATTTTGTTTTCACACAAAAAAAAAATACTATCATTGATTGTTTTTTCACCGAAAAACATAATAGCTTGCCTGCAATGTCAATGTTAGTGTAGTGCAAAATTGTCCTTTTCTGGAAAACTATACTATAGATGTCCAGGTCAACATAGAAACTGTCCTTTAGTTTGGTGTTGACACGGTCGTGTTACTTTTGTAGTCGTAGTAGTTGTTTTTGTCGTTGTTTTTGTCGTTTTTGTCGTTGTTGTTGTTGTTATTGTTGTTTGTGTTTTAAAAAGCCCGCGGAAGCCAGCGAAGACTCGTAGATGTTTAAAATGTTTGTACTCCCCATTCATACAGAGAACGCTTCGGAATAATATTCTCCGACAAAGTGAATTTACGAGAAAAATGAAGCTAACTTTCATCTTGAGCTCGTTTTCAAACATTTGTTTGATCTAGCTTAGAGAAAGACGACTCGTCATCTTCAAGCAGTGATAGGAACTCGGAAGGATTCTCCGCCTCTCCTTCGAGGTCTTTCATCTTCTTGTTTCCATTTGTCAAGCTTTGGTGCCACGAGCTCTCTGAGACTTCCTCCTTCTCTTCTTCTCTTTGGAGAACATTTCCGTTCTTATTATCATCACTAATGTCAACATCCTTTCCATTCAGTAACTTAAGCTCGATTTCTCGAGAATTCTGGGAGTCATTGCTCATTACAGCTTCAGACGTCTTCCTAGAACCAAACATGACACTCAGTTTTCTCAACTTGTCGTATTCTGCGTCTTGTAAGCCTTGCTGCTTCAGCTTCCTGCTTCGGTACTTTTTGTAAATCGCATCAAAATTGGAGACAATGACTGGCACAGGCAGAGCAATCGCTAGTACGCCGCACAGAGCGCAACCGGACCCAACAAGCTTACCCCAAAGTGTCTTGGGATACATATCTCCGTAGCCCACCGTTGTCATAGTAACTAGAGCCCACCAGAAGGCATCCGGGATACTTGTGAATAAGGTTTCTTCGTCGCCATTTTCTGCGTAATAAACCATGCTGGAGAAAATGACCACGCCAATTGCCAAGAAAAAAATCAGAAGGCCGAGTTCGCGCAAACTCTTCCTCAACGTTAGTCCGAGAATTTGTAGCCCGCTAGAGTGTCGCGAGAGCTTAAAAATACGAAACACTCGCACCAGTCTTAGAATTCGGAGAAACGCCAGCGAGAAATTCTGCTCGCTGCTGTTCTTGAGCCCTAGTTCCACATAAAACGGTAATATAGCGAGTAAATCAATTACATTTAGGAAAGAACGAACGAACAGCCATTTCTGCGGACTAGACATCAATCGCACAAGATATTCAAAGGTAAACCAGCTTATGAATGCAATTTCAAGCTGTCCAAACACGTTTTTCACCCTTGACGCTAGGTCGTTGTGTTCGCGAATTTCTTGCATCTTGGCGGTGTCATTTATATGAATGTCATCCTCTGGTAGAACGATAAACTGGGGAAGAGTTTCTATGCACAGAACGACTATAGATGCCACTATTACTGAAACAGACAGCAATGCTAACACACGCGCTGCTTTGCTCGAATCAGGATATTCAAATAATCTCCATATAAACTTCTGTGCTTTTTTCTCTGGCATTATCACTGGTTTATCGGGAGGTTCATCTTCGTTCAGGATATCCTTGACAGCATTTATAGCGAGCTCTCCAAGCTGGAAAAACTCGACCTCCTCCAGTAGAATCTCTGGAGCCAGCTCCGGCGGGCAGACCAATCGACCATTTGATTGATAGAAATACAAAATTAATTCAAACACTTGAATGTTTCGATCAAAGAAATACTCATTTCGCTCCTCGTCGTAAAATTGTTGCCTTTTCTCTCTATTTCCTAGGAGAGTCGTAGGGAATCTTTCCAACGTTTGCAAGTAAGTCATATATCGGAATCCGGACACGTTGAGAACGATTCGACGGTGTTTATTTGGAGAGTGACTTTTCCCGTGACCGGAGGAATTTTGTACTCCGCTTTCCCCTGAACTGGAAACTTCTCGATCGATTTCTTTGTTAGTTTCTTCAGGCGCAGCTTGAGTAGTTATGTCTCTTTTCTTCAGTCTTAGCGTTATTGCGCCATGTGTACTCAAGCTTGTTCCCATTTCTCCTGTAAGCAAAACAAAGCGTACGGCGTGAATAACCAACAACTCGTCCTGTTCGTCGACAAGCAACAGGTCTTCAGGGCTATTACACGTCTAAGTTATTTCACAACGAGACGTCTGTACCTAGTTGGATATTGGCATTGTGCATTACTGTTTTTGGTGGCGCTCGGAAACTTCACAATTCGACCACAGACGATACATAACACTCACCACCTCAAGCATCGATCAAGAATCAACCTTAATTAGAGAGAAGTTGTTATCATTCCGGTAACATGCACCGCTTTAACTCGCGCAAACAACACTTTCACATTACCGGTTTAAATATTAACTCGTAGCAGTCAATATTAGTGGTATCGGCTATCGAACGTGTCTTTTGTCAGCGAACGAGTGAGTGACGAGCCATTTATGTCGCAAATCGCATATGAAACCATCGGTGTGGAGCGGTGCCGTCACCTTGTCAGGCCAAACAATTGAAATGCATTTTGATTAATAACAAAAACAAAATCGATCAAAGAGTTGGAGGGTTTTTTGTCGAAGAGCATTCATGCAAGATTAGGCATGATAGCGAAGTGAAGTGAAGTCGAACGCTCCGTTATATTTTTCCCTGTGCGAATGTGCTTGAAAATAAAGGTCGAATTCACTTTTGGACACATACGCCGTGTCTAATCTCACTCCACTCTTTGTCGTGGAATTTAATTCTTTTGCATGCAGTGTCAGTCAAGAAATTTGACAACAATATAACCTACCGAGTGATATTGCCTCTGCTTTCTAGCGTGATTCTGGCGGTCTACGATTGGACAGAAAAATCTCGGTTGAATTTGTTATTGCTGCTGAATTCTTGAAGTAAAAGGCCAGATAACTCTGCCCCCTGAATAATTTTGATTCAAACTGCATACACAATCCTCGTTAGTTTTGTTGATGGTCCTTTTGTGTGCAGTTTAGTAAATTTTTCAGTAGTGGCTTCCCACGCTAATTAGCCTACAAATCGATGCTTATTGTTCTCGTGGTCTTTGGATGTCCCAACCAAGAAATTGATGTGTCTCGGCGATGTGTCACGGATGGCGCCTCCAGAGAAATGTGCACTAAATATTTCAATTTTGTCATTTGTAGTCCATCTCCGTCATAAACACTATTCTTGTTCCTTTTTGTTTCATTATTACGTACTTCCTTCACTTTTTAACCCTTATAAAAAAAGAAAAAAAAAAAGCATTACTCAAAATAGACCATGACATGGCTCCTAGGTAGAAATGGAAACAAAGATAAAAAAAATAGAATTAACAGTGCAGTTTGGAATCTCCTTTAAAATAAGCTGCTTTCGTCTTTTCGAGATTGGAAAGCGTCGCTCACTTACGCTCATTTCTCCAGACAAAACCGCCTTAATCCCATTCCTTGATTTCTTTTGTTCTCAAATCGAACTCCTTAATCACAATGAACTGCCTTGAAAATAAGACCGACTAATGGAATTTAATAACCTGTTTACGCGATATTGCCTTTGCTGTTGAATCCAGCGTGATTTGCCCCACAAATGGAAGTCTTTTGGAAATCTCAACGTGCGAGCAACATGAACACACACGAGTGAATAATCTCAAAAACCCTTCAGCATATAATTGAAGGAAAACAGCATATAGTTTACCTTGTAGTCCATACTTGATGTCCGTGTTGAATCCCTTTCAATTTGATGAAGCGTTCTTTTAAAATTTTCAGGATTAATAGTTTATAAATGTTGTCAACTCAAAGTAGTCTTAGTTTGTCGACTGTTTTACTTGAAATGGCACTTAATTTGTCTTTTCAAAACGAAGTTAACAGAGTAACTGGTTCTTGTACTGCGACGCTTCAAACGGTATGTGAAGAAATTAATTAATTGGCAATAGCTATCTCAACTCAACTCCCTTAGAAATACAAAAAAATTGAATGAAACTAAAACTCTGTTGTAAGCTTTTTTTTCTTATAGAGGTAAAACGTAGTTGTCATTAAAACAGCTTGTGAACAAAAGTGAAAGGTAACCTTGGATCTTCTGTCTTTAATAATAGAAATAGAAACAAAACCACACGTAATCAACAGTGCCTCTCGTCCGGTACAGTAACTGAGTTTGGTGGGATTACATTAATTTCCATGTAAATAGATCAAAACACAAATGCTTTTTAGACCTCCCGCTTACTTTAAGTAGCTTTAGCAGTTTCAACAAAACACGCTTTCTGTTCGATTTTGCAGAAAAACAAGATTGACTTATTGCGTTACAACATTAGATGACAATGAACGACAACGTGATTATCGACTAGCTCAACAACCCGATTACGTTTCGTATTAATACCTTGTTTATCGCTTGGTATCAAACTGAAGCTACGATACGCATCGGCAAATTCCTTCTAGAATCTTCGATGGAAGAGTCACAAAAGGTTTAAAAGCCTTGGCGAAAAACACCAAAGAGTTCTATGCTTCGCCGACCATTTGCATCACTTAATTAACAACATCTTGAGAATTTCTGATGAAGGGTTCTTCACTTAAGCTTTTTTTGATACTTTTGCTGAACACATACTGCAGTGTCAATAAAGTAACTTGAAACTTAATCGATTTTTCGCTTCATTTAGACTGTGATAAAATGCTTAAAGCCGATCTGAGGGTCATCTGCCTTGCCCCTGACATTTTTGTTACTGTTAAAATCACAAACATACCATCAATCACTGAATTCTTACGGAATTGTGATACAGTAGTTAGTTTCTAGTTAACCTTTTTACTGGAATAAAAGCTTGAGAGAGCTAATGTCATGATGGCCGTGCACTGAATGAAAGCTGCAGACTCAATTGTCGTTTTTTCTTGCTCTATCATACACGATCCAATCAGGGAACATGTAATTTTCACTCTACTCTAATAAATTCATGATCCAACCGCGGGTGCATCTAAATGTAGGTTATTCCAAAAGGAGTGAACTTAGCAAAATATTGAAAAAATATCCTGCACTCATTTCTTGGTAAGACAAGTGCTTGACTAACGCCGTTGAATACTAATGCAAGTTGAAAGCACAATGAAATGAATCGGGCAAAATATTGTAAAGAAACAAGTGCCCCAGTCGGATTTGTATTATCACGTGAAGATCAAACATAGTGGGTGGCCAAATGAACTGTTTTAAACTGCTATATACCTTTGATCGACTAAAAGGAAATCTTTTCAGCCAAACCATGTTCCCCACTGACCTTGCTCAATAATGATCAAATTGCTGATGCCCGAAACAAATTCAATTTGTATTCACTGACACCGGTGCTCAATTCAAGACGAGTGTTCACAAAGCAAACAGCTGCAATTTGCCATTTACTTTGATAAAATAGAAATAAATTGAAGGCATTTACCAACCTTGGTTTAAGGTGCACTGCATAACAACGCATTACGTATCTCAGGACTTTAGTGATCTTCAGGTTATCGCTGAAATTCACACAGACTAACAGAACATATGAAGGCCCGTCACACTTGTGTTTCGCTTTACACACGACCAACTCTGCGTGCGTTAGGGTTCATCTGTTGTCAACAAAATGCTTTAAATTGGTTTTTTTATGCAATGACTTTTGGGTAATAACTGTAGGACAGATTGAAAAATTTTAACCATTACAAATATTTCAAGAAAACAAACTCGATAATTGCCAGGTGAAAAAAAACTTTCGCTAGCGATTACCTGCATGAAAACCTTGTGAACGCGGTCGTTTTAAGGTTGATTGCATTGCTTATCTTGATTATTTGCAGCTGCTTATTAAAAAAAAAAAAACATACGAAAATCGTTCTTGAATTACTTGTAGCTTGTTTGCTGTTTTTTCTGGTATATTTTCTCTGACAATAGTAGAGAAAACTGAAAACACGCGAAGAAGAATTAAATGACGGTTTGTAAGCCCAATGGACGAAGTCTGCACTGAACAATCTTGTCTACTAGTCAGTCTGCTGCACAAAATGCGCGATTTTTGCATACCGGTTTCAGGATCTCGGTCCCAGGCTATTTTGTCTTACTTAGCCTAGTCTTGTGCAGGACTCCTTGGAACTTTCTGGAATTTTTGTAGGCCACTCGTGGACAATCTTATAATTATTTCCCAACCTCGTTCCCAGGGTGAGGTTTATTATTTCAGGGAGTCTTCAATCACTACAAGCTGTAACGCAACTAACTTGAAGCCGGCAATCGTTACTCAATGCCAGAGGTATAGGCAGTTCTGCTCCTCATCTTGAAGGCAGTAAGCACTAAGACTTCTTCAGGAACACAAAACGTTCTTTATTGTAGGCCTCCCCTCATAGAGGCTAACTTGACTAACTTCACAGCTATCATTGCACGTACTTTCGGAAGTGGATGTTATCAAGGCGATCGAACTGAACGGAAGCTTTCTCGTTACTCGTATACCAAAAAGTGAATACAGGTTTCCACTTACGCAAAAATATTGAATAGGAAGACTAGTAGGTCTAGTAAGCTGTTCTTCTAAACTGGTGATATCTTTAATCGTCAACGTACATCAATTAGTTGACGATTCAAGAGTCAGTTAGCTGTCTCCAATTCATGACCGATATAGAGTTACTTGTCGCACCGGTATTCAGTTTCCACGGCGCAGCACCTCCTCTTCACGTTAGGGCAGGGCCGAGTGGTCGCAAGCAAACAGCAGCAAATAAACGCCAACTACAAGCAAACAGCAGTAAATAAATGCTAACCGCAAGCAAACAGCAGCAGATAAGTGCTAACTGCAAGTAAACAGCAGTAAATAAATGCTAACCGCAAGCAAACAGCAGTAAATAAATGCTAACCGCAAGCAAAAGAGCAGTAAATAAAAGCTAACTGCAAGTGAACAGCAGTAAATAAATGCTAACCGCAAGCAGACACAGTATATAAATGCTAACCGCAAGCAAACACAGTATATAAATGCTAACCGCAAGCAAACACAGTATATAAATGCTAACCGCAAGCAAACGGCAGTAAATAAAAGCAAACTATATATGTGTCCTACCATGAATTATCTCCCAGCGAATCACTGAGCCTCTTTATTTTCTGAAACACTAATAACTAGTCGTGCCTGTATTTTTCAACTGCGTGGCACCTCTTATTCACGTTAAACATAGGGGCTATGCAGTAACTCAGAAAGTCCCTTACTGTAATAGATTGTTAAATCTTCCAATTACGTAAAGCAGCCCTTTTCCATCACAGCGAAACCAGTTTTAAGCGGACTCGCACGGGACCCTCACTTATGTCATGTCCTCGTAATAGAGGTGTCCTCTTCATACAGTTTGGTTTGCAGAAAATATGCAGAGCTAGCCAAGTTCTGTCAAATGTTATTCGTGCTTCATTAGAGATGTGTACATTAAGGTGTGGCAATTTACAGTTTTGAAGTGAATCTTACCATCCGGATTTTTTCTTTTTCATTTTTCCTACTAAGGCAATCTTTTGAAAACCTCTGTTGTGCACCATTTGTTTTTCTTGTTTTTTCGCCCTAAACCCCACTGGGGTCTATTCATAAACAAGACCTCCGAGGCGTTTTAGTGCCGTCTGCCAGTAAACGCAATAAACTATCTTTATAAGTCGGCCTCACTCCAGAAGTTTCAGTTGCTTCATTTTCTTTCTACTGTCTTCAACTCAACCAAAAAGAGTCGTCCGCAGTAGCGTCTCACTGTTGCAACCCAAATTTGTTTGAGAAAACAAAAGGTGGAAAATTTCTAGGACGAAGGCCATACACTCGATCAAAGATGGCAAAATTGTGCTGGATTATGTTAGTTTGATTACGTCAAAGGTTCTTGAAGGTACTCTTGATTAGTTACAAAAGCGTGTAAGAAAGACACATTATACGACTGGTAAAGGTGCCGACTGGGACCTTGAATTGAAGTGTCGTGTATTGGACCTTGCCGACCTAGTTAGAAACGTTATAGGGCAAACTTTTTCTTGTTTTTGCTTTTGTTTTTTTTTTGTTTGTTTGTTTGTTTTGTTTTGGTTTGGTTTTTTTGGTTTTTTTTTTTTCCTTTCAGTCGACGCTTGCAAAATCAGCATAAGCCGCAGTTTGATACGCATCAATCTTTGGGCGGGAAAGACCTGGCCTCTTGGTCAAACTTAAATTAAAGAGCCGCTAAAATAACTGGAAGAGAGTTTTCATTATGTGACTAAGTTTGTCTGCCATGGTTATTCTCTTGCGTTTCGTTTGCTTCCTTCTCGAGTTGTGGGTGAAAGTCTCGATGGTTTTTGAGTTTTAATTGCTTTTTTTCGGGTTTTGGTTACTTCGTTTCGACTTGCCAGCTGTGCCAGTTCGTGATTAAATCTTTGTTTTCGACACTCCCCGACCCAGTCATCCAATCATGTAACCATTAATGCGGATTAAAGATAATCCAAGTCGTTATTTTGACAAGGCTGGGTTTTCTTTCATAAACAACTAGATGAGTAAAGCAATGAACTCGAATTGTGCTCCCTTATAAATCAGACAGACATTTATTTACATAATAAAACAAGCCTCAATTTTTCATCAGCGCATTGTGTCAGTCAATTTCCTCTCTGGTTGTAAGACTGCAAATTGGACGAATTAAGTCAACGAATCTTCATCAGCATTTTCAGTTCACTGTAGGCCACGTTCGATATATCAATATTATAACATGGCTCCAAGGCTTTCGGGTCAATCTCAATTCCCAAAAGAGACTTAGATACAAAGAAAACAACACCAAATGTAGAAGTTTGTCCTGGAAGCCTCAGAGCCATGATACGATATTGATATATCAAACGTGGCCTATTAATTAAGCGATCGTCAAAACCGAACCGAGAAGTTTCTTTCGTGTCCTACCGAAAAACGTCGATCACTGCAGTTACGCTCTTTTTTTTTTTTCTACACTTGTACTAGTAGATGCTCCAATTTCTGGTTGGAAAGAAACACTAGTTCCTTCTATCAGTGGCTTCTTACAGAATCAAATCAAATCTTTATTCATACCAAATTGATTACAGAGGTTAAAAAGATAAAGATTCACAAAACAGTAGTAAACAACTGCAAGTTACATAACTT